AAAAAAAAATAAGAGCGCGATTGTGGGTTGGCTGCTCGGGCCTCGGGGGACGTGTCTCACCGATTTCGGTTTTCCTGCCGCGGGAAAGGTTGCCCCCGGAGTCGGAGGCACAAATGTTGACGCAGGACGCGCAGAGACGGTCGTCGTTGGGGTCCTCGTCCACGGTGATGGCACAACAGGACGGGAGGGAGGGCGAGAGGACCGGAAGCGGTTACTGGTGCCAGGAGCTTCTCCATTCTCCGTCGCCCCTGCTGCGCTGCCGCTCGGCCCGCCCACCCCTGGCTCAGTGTGCATCCAACTGCCCTGGCGCAGTCGACCGGTCTCCCTCCTCTCCAGCCCAACCGCCACCACTACCATAAGAACAACGACGAAGAGAACAACCACCATTTATTGTGCCCTTAACTTGGTGCCTGGCACAGCACTAAACATTTCCCACACATTTAGCTACAATCCAGAGAAATGCGTGCTACTGTCCTCTTCATTTTACAGATAAATGAATGCATGGGAATTGAAGTGAATGGCCCAAGGCCCGAATTCTCCCTCACCTTCCTTCTGGACCCCCTCTCCACCCCCAGCCTCAGTCAGTCCTCTTTGCTCCCAGAATCCACCCCAACTTTCTAGAATAGAGTTGAACACCAGCTTCCTCCATCCCCACTGCCCCAGCCTCTGGGTCTGAGGTCACAGGGAGGGAAGAACCTTCACCACTTCCCAGCTTCACTCTCCATCTCCTGGTTGGCCCTCTGGGGGTCTGGCCCCAACCTGTCCTAGCCTCTGAGCCCCCTGCCTCCATCTGGGCACTTCCCCCCCACCCCCACCCCAAGCCTGTGCCTGGCACAGGGGCATCACAGCTGGCACCAGGCTGCCTAGGGAGTAAGGAGATCCAGGGCAAGACCAGAAAGCCCCAACTGGAATCTGGACTCAGCCAGGGCCCGGAAGGCCCAGCCAGCAGCCTTTGCAGGGAGGGGGGATTCCTGCAGCCCCTTCCTATCCTGGGGCCAGCTTCCTCACCTGGGGTCCTCCCTGCTCCCCAAGAGGCCAGCCAGCCTAGGCTGGCAGCGAAGAAGAACTCACTTAACAGTTCAGCTCAGCGGGACCTGGGAAGCTTTGGGGGCGGGGTGGGGGGCGGGGAGGAAAAGGGAAGGAGAGGGAGGGGCCAGCACTGCATTTCCCCTCCTACAGGCAGCCCCAGGCTTCACAGTTGGAAAAATTGGGAGGATTGGGAGAGGGCCTGTGAGGCGCTGAATCCTGAAGACCGCATTAGGGGATGAGGGGGAGGGATGGTCCAAGGGAGGAGAGTGCTGAGGGCTGAGAGCATCAGGGCTGCTTCGTGGCTCTGCAACCTTGGGCAAATGCTTGTCCCTCTCTGGACCTCAGCTTCTCTGTCTTAGTCTGTTCGGGCTGCTATAACAAAATACCACAGACCGGGTGGCTTATAAACAACAGAAATTTATTTCCCACAGCTCCGAAAGTGGGAAGTCCAAGATCAAGGCTCCAGCAGGGTCCTCAAGGACCCTCTTCCTGGTTTATAGTCTGCACTTTCTGTGTCTTCATTGGGTGGAAGGGGCTACAGAGCTCTGTGGGGTCTCTTGCGTAAGAGCACGAATCCCATGCATGGGGCTCTGCCCTCTTGACCTCCCAAAGGTCCCTAAAATACCATCACATTAAGGATTTGGATTTCAAAGTATAAATTTTGGGGGGACACATTCAGACCATGGCACTCCCCATCTGTAGGCTCTGTTGAGAGCCTGTTTGGGGAAGGAAGAAGCAGCTGATAGATCCTGACTCTGGGAACAGCAGTGGGGCCAGGCCACAGCAGAGCTAACCCCCACCCTCGCCTCAGGAAAAGATGATGGCTCCCAGCGGCTTCCCTCCAGAGCCCCAAAGTTCAGTGGCTCCAGGGCCCTCCAGGACCTTTTCCCAAAGTCAGGGCCCACCCCTGACCCAGTCTGGGGCATCATCACTACCCCTTCCTTCCAGGGAGCCTCAGGGCCCATGGAGGGGTGGGGTGAGTGGAGAGATACTTGCCCTGAACTGCTGTGAGGCTCAACCTAATGGTGGAATTTGGGGCACCAAAGCAGGGAGAAAAGATGGCCTTGTGACACTTCCCCGGAGTGGCCCCTCCCTCCAAACCCTGAGAGAGGAGCTTTATCTGGAGCCCAGACCCTCTCCCTGGATAACACACGCAGGACCCGCTACAGACTGCGCGGTGTCCAGAGTTTCAAGATGGCCAGAGCAGAGCTTCAAACCAGCTGGGAGGGCCCCTCTGAGGGCCGTGAAGCTGGCTCGAAACCACACGCGTGTGTCCGCACGCTCTTCTCGCTCCCTTCCCACGTGGCCCTGCCCAGGGAACACACTGTAAGTGCAGTCACCTGCTATTTTGATAATGGCTCCCAGCTCTGCGCTGCCACGGAGGAGGCCCCCCGGATAAGCAGTCTGCTAAGTGCTGAAGGGACACGGCGGCAGGGCTCGCAGGGGCACAGAAAGTGGTGCTGGGAGGGCAGGTGGCCAGGCTCCCGGTCCCAGTCCCCCTGGCCTCCCTACCTTGTCCTTACGCAGGAAAACAGCAGAGAACTGTTCACCTCCTTGGTTTGGGGGGAAGGTGGGTGACAGGGTGATTCTCTGATTGGGGCAGGGCTAACCAGGAGAAAACTGGCCTGCGGGTACAGAGCGGGGACCCAAGAAGGATCCAGTAGCTTCCTTTCTGGGGGAGTTTCAAGCCCAGAGATAACTGGCTGGTGCTCACAACACAGGCACCTGTAGCTAGAGCATCATATTCAGGCCCAGAGGTGACCTTCACCGGGTCCCACTCCCAAGCTTTGCTGTTGCCTCCCGGGTACGGTCTACTGGAGCTAAGAACAGAAAAGAATGGGCTGAGCCGGCTGCCCGGAAGCAGAGCTGAAGCCCGCAGGGGACAGGTCTATGGCTCAGGAGCTCAGGAGCGGAGCCAGCCCACCGGCTGTGCCACCATGAGGCTTAGGGTCCCGCACAGGGACGTTCTTTCTCTGGGGTATGGGACAAGCTCAGGACTCAGCTCTGAACCAGCGCTGGTCTTTTAGGCCCTGGAAGGGGTGACCGACGAACCTGTGGGTGGTGCCCAGGGTAGCAGACATGGTAAATGCCATCAAGCAGGTGGTCAGTGTGCCCAGGACGGTAAGCCAGAGTGGGTTATGTATGAACGTCCTGGGTGTGCCAGCAGGGGGGGTGTGCACATGGGTGGAGGGCGGTGTTTTAGGACAAGGGCTGGTATGTGTGAGCATGTGATCATGCCTGTGAGGATGTGGTATACAAAGCTGCCAGGGCTCCCCTCTCAAGAGGCGGCTCCAAGGGTCCGCTGGCTTTGGGGGTCACATATCTGGGCCCCCAGGTCCTTCCAGCTGGCTCAGACTCAGGCCAGGCCTCAACCCAGGGTTCCAACCAGGGGGTGTCCGAAAGTATAAAGGCCCTCTGCATCAGCACCACCCCTCCCCCCACCCCATACTTTAGCCTGCATTCACGAGTGTCTCTGGTGGATGGGGCAGGGGTGAGACACATGAATGGGCACATTCCCTCACTTTCCTGCTCCTGCACTTGCTGGCTTCCCACAGGGCAGAGCTGCCAAACAGGGCACCTCACTCCCTGACCCCACCTGGTCCAGTCCCTGGCCCTGCCCAGTGAGCTTTCTGATACCCCAGGCTGGCGGGGCCCTGCTTCCCAAGCCTAGCCTGACACCTTCATTTTCAAGAAAGGTACTGCACAGAGGGCTCACCCCCTGAACATGAAGGTGGACTACATTTCCCAGCCTGCCCTGCAGCTCCATGTAACCATGTGACTGGGTGCTGGCCAATGGAAGGTGGGCAGAAGGCACACCCCCAGAGGCCAGGTCCCGGGAAACCTCCTAGGTGACCCTCCACTAGCAGTCACTCCCCCTCTGCTGACTGGATGCTGATGCCCCAGGGCAAACCGGGAAGCCAGGTGTTAGAGACCTCAGAGTCAGGGTTCATTCAGCAGAGCCCCCAGATCCCTTCACTTCCAGTTGAAGTGAGGCTGAGCAAGGAAAACACTTCTATAGAGTTAAGCCACTGAGATTTCAGGGTTTATCCGATATAGCAGATGGTGTTGCCTCAAGGAATACAGGCTCTTGATTGAAGTCACTTGGGGTCCAGGGCCCGGCTGGGATGTCCCCCTTTCCAGTCGCCCTTTCTGGGAGGACAGGAGGTGGGGGGTGCAGGAGAAGCTTGAGCCCTAAGGTTCTGCCCCTATACTTCCTCAGTTTCCAGAGCCCAGACCCTCCAAGGCGGAGGGAGAAGGCCAGGGGGCCCCCGGATGCCCTTAGGCCACTGATGCACAGAGCCTCGTGTCCCCACCTCACTGCTGTGATTTCTGCAAGGAAAGTGCCTCCTCGTCCTCCTGACAGGCCCCTCTGGCCAGTCCTCAGGATGAGGTCAATGTTCCTGCCTCAGCCTTAGGACCTGGTCCTGCCCTCTGCCTTGGGTCACGGTTGGGAGTAGAGATCAGCTGGGGGAGTTCTCTGAGGTGTCGGGGAGCAGGCCAGCTGCCACCTGGTCCTGGTGCCACAGCTGTTCCGCCAGGCCGTTGAGCACGTGGGCAACGTCGGCCAGCCCAGCCCACCCATCCAGTGTGCGCCCATCTGCCAGCCGCCGTCCCGGCACACTCTTCACCCGCAAGAGGGGCAGTTCCCAGGCCTGCCGGAAGGCCGTGAGGTCACGCTCAGGCACATCAGTGTGCATGTACTGGTCAAATCTGGAGGAGGGTCAAGGAGCCTGGCCGGGTGTCTCTGCTTACCACCTCGTCGCATCCAGCCTCAGCCCTCTTCCCCGGAGCCCCATCCGGTGGGGGCGGGGGGGGGGG